CAAGACGGGGCCTGGCACCAAGGGGGCAGCCCATTGGGCTCCCCAGGCACCTCACATACCTACGCACCCCAAACGCCCTCCCCAGCCCCCAGGGCAGACAGCAATGAGCTAGTGGGAGGGGTGGGGGTGACACGTTCTTACCTCGGGGCTAAGGGTGACAGAACCCATGCTGGGGAACGAAAAGAGAGAGAAATTAAAAGAGAGAGAGAAGGGGACTGTACAGGAGCCTGGGAGCTGTAGGAGGGCAGAGCAAAATAACCAGCGTGCAGCCAGGGTAGAGAGAGACGAGCAGCCAGACACACACAGCCGGGAGGACCCCGAGGGACCTGTGGGGTCTCAGGTCTTGGGGTGTCCCTGAAGGCAGACATGACCTGTCACCAAGACAGCAGCTCACACTCACTCCGCACACACAGCTCTGCTTGTGGGTCTCCATCCCTGTGTTCCCCCTCCCAGAGGGCACCCCTAATTCCTCACATACCCCCAAACCAGCCCCTCGGCCCCTGCCCTACCTCACGTAGAGTGAGATGGGCACCACAGTGTTGAGGATGATGATGTAAGACCAGAAGGAGAGGAAGCCAGAGAAGAAGGCACTGTGCACCCCCTCGTCCCAGGGCAAGTAGATCTGGAAGCAGACGCCCACCTCATGCTCCCAGATGGCATTGCCAATGGCCAGGATCACTCCCATGCACACCAGGAACCCAAAGATCTGGGGATAGGACAGGACAGGACAGGACATCAGAGCCCTGACTGGGTCAGAGCCAGGGCTCCCAAGATCTGCCTTCTGCATACCCAGAGCACCAGTGTGTTCATCAGCCGGTCAATGCTCGTCCGCTTAAATTTGGTCCGGCCACTGTTCTGCATCAGTTTTGTGTCGGGCCCTGGGGAGCAGGAAGGCATCAGGGGGGTCTCTTCCTCCCCTCTGTGCAGTGCAGCTGCAGCTGCTGCCTCAGCCTACCTGCGAAGATGACGAGGCCAAAGCACCACTCGGTGTTGCGCAGGACACAGCCTCGCAGCAGCATGTTCTGGTTGCTCAGGGGGTACTTGTTCTCCTTCCAGTACAGCGTCCCACCAAACTTGTCAAGCTTGTTGTTGGGGGGTTCACAGACCACCTCGCCTGGGTGCAGGGGATGGCTCAGCTGGGCCTTGCCTTCTTCACATGGCCAGCTGCATCCAGTGCCCCAGCACCATCCCAGGTGCCCCAGAGATCTGCTTCAAGCCGCAGGACAACGCCGTGTGGCTGATCCTGGTTTCTCCAGGGTGGTGGAGGAAGGAACGTGGGGGCTGCCCCGTGGCAGAGGGCTGGTCGCGGGCACTCACCGTCAAAGCGAGCCAGCTTGCTGGTGTCCCCCAGCTCCGCAGTGACAGGTATGGCCTGGCGCACCTTCATGTTGGTCTCTCTGCAGGCAAGGAGGCACCACATTAGAGACAGCCTGGCAGGGAGGGCCTTGGCAGGTGCTGCCTGGCAGCTCCCACTCTGCCCACAGCCCACTCTCTCACTCCCAGCTCCTGCCTTCCCCCGGCCCTGCAAGGTGAGCAGGGGCACCCACCCGTCCAGCTCTGCAGTCTCTATGTAGCACAACCCATGGGGTTCGCTGCTGGAGAGGAGAAGTAGGTCGGCCTGCTGGGAGAGATATGTGAAGGGTTGCACCGACACCAGGGCTCCACGACACCCTCCCCAGGGAAGCTCCTGGCCCCTGGATGTCAGCAGGGTCCCTGAAGCCTCTGCAAAGGCCGTCCCCAGCCCATCCCTTGCACCCAGGCCTGGCCATCATTGCCCCAAGCACCCAGATTCCCAGAGTTCAAACAAGGCTCCGACTCTCCAACCTAAACACAGCTTCCAGGATGAGAAGTCCCTGATGTCCCCACCCCAGGAGGTGAAGGAGGAGCACAAAGGCAAAGTGGGTGCAGCACCATGTCATTATGCAATCCCTATATGCCACCCAGCTGGGACCATCCTCATCTCAGGGCCGCACTCACCGCCACAAACTGGTTATTCTCCAACTTGATGATGTCTCCAACA